ATTGTTATTTTGACCCCCAATTAATGAACTAAAGTAAAATGGCACTTTTGTAATGTGGTACCGCTCACCTACCACATCTCACCTACCGTTCACCTACCGTTCACCTACCGCTCACCTACTTCCCACCTACCACTCTCTTACTTCTATAAATAGAGAGGGTGTGAGGCTTAGGAGAGCAAGGGAAGAAATTTTAAGGGTGTGAGACTTATGAGAGAAAGGGAGAAGATATCTTAAGCTACCACAAAGGAGGAGAGAATAGCTATAGAGTTAGAGAGGAGGAGAGCATCTTGAGGCCTTGTATCAAGGTGTCGCTTGAGAGGGAGGCCATATAAGGAAGATGAGGGCTCATCTCTATGTATAAGCTATGTATTCTCCATTTCTTTTGCCTTAGTGAAATATTTGATTGATTCCCTCCCGTGGATGTAGATCCAGTTGGATCGAACCACGTAAATGATCTGTGTTTGCTTGTGTTCTTTTTTCGTCTCATTTCTATGCCAGGAAGTACATATCTCACAACACTACTAATGACTAACATTAATAAAAATCACATATCAATGGATGAGATAAGTAACAAGAAGCGCTACAATCATGAACACATAAGCAACTCCTTGTCCAACAACTTTGCCACCGTTGCTCATCAGAGGTTCTGCAGCCGGCGCCGGTGCCATGGCGTGCCCGTGAGCGAGCCCCATCAGCCCTAAAACGAAGATGTAAAGAAAGAGAAGAACACAAATTCTGATGCTATTCATCTTCCAATTATTTCAAAAATGTAAACTTTGAAGAGGAAGAGTGGAAAAGTAGAAGAACAAAATGAATGAGATGAGAAGAAGAAAGACTCTACACTTGTTATTTATAATGGGGGATGATTGGCTGGAGGTATCCCTTTGCTTTGTGTTGATTTGGTAAGACATTGAAGCCTTCTTCCTCTTCTTGAAAATACGTTGAATTCTTACATTAGAAGTTGACGCAGAGAAGTGCCGTTGAAGGTTCGCAAGTCCTCGGAAGAGAAAAAACGTACAAGCGTTCATTGCATTCTAATCACCCAGCTAAATAACAGCTCTAAAAAACATATATTTTACACCACTTAACGACACACAACTATATATATATACATATATATATATATGTTAATTTATTTATTAAAATCTCTATTCAAACTTGCAACGATATTGAGAACCAAACTTTGAGGACCATATTTAAGTACTACAAAAAAAGGGCCTTTACGAACAATACCGTCCAATTCTCATGTATTAATATATTAACCATCTAAACTAAACTTTTATGTACACAGACCACCCAATTTCTATATTTTTGACTTAGGTTGGGTGGTACTTGAGCAAAAATTAAAATCTAAGTGATTAATATGTTAATACATAACAATTGAATGGTATGCACCATAAACATATTTATAAACATAACCCTCAATTCCTTAAATCACATAAAAAATAACACTATTGTCAATTTTTTAAAAGACGAATACATTTTTATGCATGGATTTAAACACCATCACACACCAATATATATATATA